TAATGGGCACTCCCACAAATAGTGCATAAGCATTCTCTTTTCTCTGCAGCCTTGCCAACATCTATTGTTTTTTGAATTTTTAATAATAGCCATTCAGACTGGTATGAGATGGTATCTCACTGTGATTTTGATTTGCATTTCTCTGATGATTAGTGATATGGAGCATGTTTTCCTATATTTGTTGGCTGCTTTTATGTCTTCTTTTGAGAAGTGTCTGTTCAGGTCCTTTGCCCCCTTTTTTTTCTTTAAGTTCAGGGGTACGTGCGCAGTTTTTTTTTATATAGGTAAACTTATGTTATGGCGGTTTGTTGTACAGATTATTTTGTTACCTAGGTATTAAGCCCAGTACCCACTAGTTACTTTTCTTGATCCTCTCCCTCCTCTCACCCTTCACCCTCCAATAGGCCCCAGTATCTTTTGTTCCTCTCTATGTGTCCAGGTATTGTCATAATTTAGCTCCCACTTGTAAGTGACAACATCTGGTATTTGGTTTCCTGTTCCTGTGTTAGCTTGCTAAGGATAATGGCCTCTGGCTCCATCCACATTCCTGCAAAGGACATAATCTTGTTCTTTTTTATGACTGCATAGTTTTCCATGGTGTATAGGTATCACATTTTCTTTAGCCAGTCTATGATTGATGGTCATTTTAGGTTGATTCTATGTCTTTGCTAATGTGAATAGTGCTGCAATGAACATATGTGTGCATGTGTCCTTATGATGGAACAATTTATATTTCTTTGGGTATATACCCAGTAATGGGATTGCTGAATTGAATAGTAGTTCTGTTTTTAGGTTTTTGAGGACCAACCACCACTAACAGTGTATAAGCATTCCTTTTTCTCCACAACCTTGCCAACATCTGTTATTTTTTAATAATACACTGGTGTGAGATGGTCTCTCATTGTGGTTTTGATTTGCATTTCTCTAATGATCAGTAATGTTGAGTTTTTTCATGACTGTTGACTGCACGTATGTCTTCTTTCGAAATATGTCTTTTCATGTCCTTTGCCCACTTTGTAATTTTTTTCTTGTAAATTTCTTTAAGTTTCTTATAGATGTTGGATATTAGACCTTTGTCAGATGCATACTTTGCAAATATTTCCTTTCATCCTCTAGATTATTTGTTCACTCTATTGATAGTTTCTTTTGCTGTGCAGAAGCTCTTTAATTTAATTAGACCCTATTTGTCAATTTTTGCTTTTGTTGCAGTTGCTTTTGTTGCAATTGCTTTTGGTATCTTCTTCATGAGATTTTTGCGCATTCCTATGTCCAGAATGGTGTTGCCTAGGTTGTCTTCCAGCGTTTTTGTAGTTTTGGGTTTTAAATTTAAGTATTTAATCCATCTTAAGTTAATTTTTGTATGTGGTATAAGGAAGGGGTCAAGTTTTAATCTTCTGCATATGACTAGGCAGTTATCCCAGCACCATTTATTGAATAGGTAGTCCTTTCCTCATTGCTTGCTTTGTCAGCTTTTTCAGAGATTAGATAGTTGTAGGTGTGTAGCCTTATTTCTGGGTTCTCTATTCTGTTCTATTGGTCTATGTGTGTGTGTTTGTACCCGTACCATGCTGTTTTGCTTACTGTATCCCTATTTGAAGTCAGTTTGAAGTCAGATAGTGTGATGCCTCCAGGTTTGTTCTTTTTGCTTAGGATTGCCTTGGCTATTCAGGCTCTTTTTTGATTTCATATGAATTTTAAAATATTTTTTCTAGTTCTGTGATGAATGTCATTAGTAGTTTAATAGGAATAGTATTGAATCTATAAATTGCTTTGGGCAGCATGGCCATTCTAATGATATTGTTTCTTCCTATCCATGAGTATAGAATATTTTTCCATTTGTTTCTGTCATCTCTGACTTCTTTGAGGAGAGTTTTGTAGTTCTCCTTATAGAGATCTTTCACCTCCCTGGTTAGCTGGATTCCTAGGTATTTTATCTGTGTGTGTGTGTGGCACTTGTAAATGGGATTGCATTACTGATTTGGCTCTCAGCGTGGCTACTGGTGGTGTGTGGGAGTGCTAGTGATTTTTGTACATTGATTTTTGTATCCTGAGACTTTGCTACAGTTGTTTATCAGCTTAAGGAGCTTTTGAGCTGAAACTATGGCATTTTCTAGATATAGGATCATATCATCTGCAAATAGGGATAGTTTGACTTCCTCTCTTCCTATTTGGATGTGCTATATTTCTTTCTCTTTCATGATTGCTCTGGCCAGGACTTCCAATTCTATGATGAATAGGAGTGGTGAGAGAGGGCGTCCTTGTTTTGTGTCAGTTTTCAGTGGTAATGTTTCCAGCTTTTGCCCATTCAGTATGATGTTGCCTGTGGGTTTGCCATTGATGGCTCTTACTATTTTGAGGTATCTTTCTTCAATACCCAGATTATTGGGAGTTCTTAACATAGAGGGGTGTTGAATTTTATCAAAAGCCTTATCTGCATCTATTGGTTTTTGTCTTTAGTTCTGTTTATGTGATGAATCACATTTATTGATTTGCATATGTTCAACCAACCTTGCATCCCAGGGATAAAGCCTACTTGATCATGGTCGATAAGCTTTTTGATGTGCTGCTGGATTTGTTTTGCCAGTATTTTATTGAGAATTTTTGCATCAATGTTCAAGGATATTGGCTTCAAGTTTTCTTTTTATGTTGTGCCTCTACCAGATTTTGCTATCAGGATGATGCTGGCCTTATAGAATGTGTTAGGGAGGATTCTTTCTCCCTCAATTTTGGTACCAGCTCTTCTTTGTACATCTGGTAGAATTCAACTGTGAATCTGTCTGGTCCTGGGCTTATTGTGATTGGTAGGCTATTTATTACTGATTCAATTTCAGAGCTCATTATTGGTCTGTTCAGGGACTCAATTTCTTACTGGTTAGCTCTTAAGGGTGTATGTGCCCAGGAATTTACTAATTTCCTCTAGATTTTCTAGTTTATGTGTATAGAGGTGTTCATAATATCTTCTGATGGTTGTTTGTATTTCTGTGGGGTCAATAGTAATATCCCTTTGTTGTATCTGGTTATGTTTATTTGGAGCTTCTCTATTACCTTCTTTATTAGTCTAGCTAGCAGTCTAGCTAGCTCCTGGATTCATTGATCTTCTACATTTTTTGTGTGTCTTAATCTCCTCCAGTTCAGCTCTGATTTTGGTTATTTCTTGTCTTCTGCTAGCTTTGGAGTTGGTTTCCTCTTGGTTCTCTTGGTTCTCTTAGTTACACTGCTAGGTTGTTAAATTGAGATCTTTCTAACTTTTTGATTCGCACTTTTTAATGGGGTTATTTGTTTCTTGCTTGTTGAATTGCTTAAGTTCCGTATAGATTCTGGATATTAGACCTTTCTCAGATGCATAGTTTGCAAAAATTTTCTCCCATTCTGTAGGTTGTCTGTTTACTCTGTTGATAATAATTTATTCTGCTGTCTAGAAGCTCTCTAGTTCAATTAGGTCCCACTTGTCAATTTTTGTTTTTGTCATAATTGCATTTAAGGACTTAGCCGTAAATTTATTGCCAAGGCTGTTGTCAAGAAGGGTATTTCCTAGGTTTTCCTTGAGGACTTTTATAGTTTCCTTGAGGACTTGCATTGAAGTCTTTAATCCATTTTGAGTTAATTTTTGTATATGGTGATAGTTGTCCAGTTTTAATCCTCTGCATATAGATAGACAGTTATCCTAGCACCATTTGTTGAATAGGGAGTCCTTCCCCCATTGATTATTTTTGTTGAATTTGTCAAAGATCAGATGGCTCTAGGTGTGCAGCTTTATTTCTGGGTTCTCTATTCTGTTCTACTGAAAAACCATCTATTTTACTGCAAACATGGCAACTCACTTTGGCACTGCTCTGGGGCCTCTCTACCAAGGTGCAACACTAAGGAGAAAGGCTAGTTAGTGTTTTTTCTCATCCTGCCACTGGCTGCCACATTGAATTACTGGGCTAAGGACTTAGTAGTTCCTGAAGCTTCAGGTGGTTCAGCACAAAGGCTGCCATCACTGGCAGGGTAGCATGGAGTTCCCAGGAGTGGAGTCCATTCCTGGGACCTGCATGGCAGTGGTCTTAGGGTCTGCTGGGCTCACATGGTGGAAGAGGACAGCACCCCACCATGCTATGCCAGGAAGCATGGACAGAATAGCAGTATGGGCTTGGGGATTGGTCTGGATACCTTGGGAAGACAGCACACATAGGACACCCTTGGGGACCCTAAGAATTATTTGGACTGTGAGCACTTTACAGAGGGTTGATGATCAACCTTATCATGTGGTGGGTTAATGGCGGTAAACTGTGGGCTGAGATACTCATGGACCTCATGTATCTTTATTAATGAGAACTGGGGACATTTGGATGCACATCAATTAATATCATATATTGTTCTCTGACTCCAAATTCAAAAACATGTTTTTTGATTGATCTGACACCAAAGAAAATAAAAGAAGACAAGGAGAATATTTTGCATGAACTAATTTGAGCTTCTCATTCATTCAAATGTTGTAACAATTAACAGAGGTGTACTACTTGGCTTTTTATGCTAGCATTTATGCTTGTTATCATTCCCAAATCAAGTTCACATTTAAGAAGTCATTACACATTTTCTGATGTATTTTATCTAAAAAAAGACATTTCTTGCTTTGGAAACCAAATGAAGACAGGTTTTTCATATCCCACTGAGTGACAAGTTCCACTCAGTACGCAGAGATAAGATCTCCACAGTTGGTAGTTGAACAGGTGACCAGAAGCATGGAAAATGCAGTTCTTCAAACTGAGAAACACAGATTTGGAAGAAAGCTTACAATTCTTTTACTGAGTCTAAGTAATTCATCTGCCTTGGGAAGGGACACAGACAGCCAGATTAAGTAACCTTTTGCATGTTCACAAGTCGACTAGCAGCAAAACAGAGAAATTAACTTGCTTCTAATACTCTAAGTCTTGCTTCCCACAAACCACAAATGTTTCATGAAAATACTTTTAAATGTCTCCTAAAACATGTCCCCAAGCTCAACTTTTGCACCATACCTTGGAGTATGCTCTTTACTATAACTTCCGTGTGATCAGCCAGGAGATCTGCCTTGGTAATTGCAGCCAGAGACAGGTAGTTGGACATATTCCTGCATAGATCCTTGTTGCCTCTGTGGAGGAATTTCACTGCAATGGGGATGGCTAATGCCATCACTGGGGGTCGGTTGTAATTCTGAGGAAATATAAGAAAGCCACAAATAATAAGTGACTCATTATTCATTTATTCATTCATTCACTCATTCAAAAAATATTTATTGGATGAAGCTCCCAGAGTACAGCTGTGAAAACACAGGCCTTGCCCTGTTTATATTGTATTTGGGAATTCTGGGAACTCTTGGTTTTGTTTAAGAGACCTAAAGACAAACAGGCAGTTAACAGCATAAACTGATGACAGCCGAGATGGGCAAAAGGCAGGGTGCTAAGACAGCAGAGAAGGAGCACTCAATTCAGTTTTGGGGAATGTCAAGAAAGACTTCCTGGAGGAGGTAATGTCTTAGTTGGGACCTCATGGATGAATAAAAGATGGCTGGGGCCGGGCGCGGTGGCTCAAGCCTGTAATCCCAGCACTTTGGGAGGCCGAGACCGGCGGATCACGAGGTCAGGAGATCCAGACCATCCTGGCTAACCCAGTGAAACCCCGTCTCTACTAAAAAATACAAAAAACTAGCCGGGCGAGGCGGCGGGCGCCTGTAGTCCCAGCTACTCGGGAGGCTGAGGCAGAAGAATGGCGTGAACCCGGGAGGCGGAGCTTGCAGTGAGCTGAGATCCGGCCACTGCACTCCAGCCTGGGCGACAGACCGAGACTCCTTCTCAAAAAAAAAAAAAAAAAAAAAGATGGCTGGGTGCTGGCAAGGCAGGGAGTAGACAGAAAGAAGGAAGAGTAGGTGTGCAGAGACCGAGGTGAGGGAGTACCTGATGGCATTGGGGAGTTGTAAATAGCTCAGGATGGCTGGAATGTGGTATGTGTGAGGAAATGGGAGTAGGAGGTGAGGGGAGAGACGGGGTAGGTAAACAGGGGCATGATTATGAAAGGCCCAGCATACCAGGCTAAGAAATTTGGAATTGATCTTTAGGGTAATCAGGGGCCACTGATGACAGGAATCACTTGTCAGATTTACACTTGAGAAAAAAACCTAAGGAATGTTGAACAAGTTGATTTTTGACTATATCTATCTTAAAAATTAAAGTTTCAGCTAATTAGATTCAGAGGAAAAAAATGAACGTAAGATTAAAACCTAAAGGTATTCTGGATCCTAAAATAATTCTCTTCTTGATTTACTTTGTGACTGAATATAAATATCCTTACATATAAAGTAGTCCTATTAGCATTTAGTTACCAAATTAAGGAATAATATTTAGAAAATACAAATTGTTTTCTTTTTTTTTTTTCTATCACATAACATTTTGGTCAACGAATTGTTTTCTTAAAAATGAATGGTACATATTCACTGCCCCTGGCCATCAACCCCACCTCTCAGACTAACTATAGAAAAAAAAACTGTGTGGTGCACAGTGTGTTTGGGAGAAATAGTCCTGGACTCCTACTCTTGCATTATTTGATGAGAGACAATGTTCTGTGTTGCTTAACCCACTGTTATATTTAGATCTTTGTTCTGTAACTGAGCTTGTATCCTGATTAATACAATGCAAAGCCAGGACCACTTTCATTCTTTAACTTTCCCTGTGGCTTAAAGAGAAAATTATATTCTTAGAATGAAATGTAGAATTCTGCCTTTATACATTCAAATCCTACAATAAGGACAAAAGAAAGGACATGAGATAAAAATTGTCTTTGATACATACAACTCCTGAGCAATAGAAATGGGGCAGTTGGGTCAATGAGATATTTACATGGGGGAAAAACATATCTCCACCCCTGTATCTGCCATAACTAAAATCAATTTCAGATAGATTGCAGATCTAAAGGTGAAAAACAAAACAAGACAGAGAAGACAACCCAGGAGAACATCTTGATGGCCTCAGAGTAGACAAATACTTCCTTAAACTAACTCAAAAATTAACAATAAAAAAGTCATAAAGTGGATAAAATCAAGAACTTCTAGTCATTAAGAGATACAATTTAAAAAGTAAAAAGATAATCCAAAGAATGAAAGAAGATATCTATAATATGTTCTGGGTACTAGTAAACCTTTGGATAAATGTGTGTGTGTGTGTGTGTGTGTATATATAATATTATATATAATATGTTATAAATATAAAAGTATTATTTTTTATATATATAATATATATATACACACACACACTCTTCCAATCCACAAGAAAAAGAAGACAGGCAATCAAATAGAAAAATAAGCAGGACTTAAACAGACACTTTATAAAATAAAGCCCCAAAACATGAAAATATGCTCAATTTCATTAATTTTTAATTTTGGTCTGGGTTCTGATTACAGGGTTGTATTTGGAGAGAATTCATCAAGATATTATATGACCTCTTTTCATATCACAAAAGCACAGTTATGTAATTTCAGATTTTAGCTATTCTTTTAAATAGATTCAAAAGTTAGTATGAATACAGGATTGCATATTGTACACATGCATTATATAAACAACTCTTGTCTTAGGGTTCTACGAAGGACAACGACACACAGTTGTGGAGTCAATGCAGCCAAGAGTATAATAATGGTGGTGACAATGTCAGGAAGATGACTTGTCTATTCACACTGAGTATGGGAATCAGGTAAAATAAATATTATGGGATACGTGAGGCACTCAAATGTATGTTCCTTAAAGAGCTAATGAGTTTTGGGAGTGATAACATTCATATCTTGATATCCAGTCCAAAAATTTTCCTGAAGTCACAGAAAATATCATTCTATGATTTTTCTCCGATCTCCATATCATCAGCCTTTTACACTCCTGCCCAATAGACATTTATCTTTCTTCTGGAGACTCTACCCTAATTCTTCTCTGTGAAACTGTCCAGGTGCTTCTAATGAAGGTATCTCTACCTTTGTCTTAAAGATGATCAAGTGACTCAGACACTGACCATTGAAAGAATCACATTTCCCTGGTTCAAGGATGGACAAGTTACCAAATTATAATTAAGGAGCCATGAAATGGCTCTGTGAAAGAGATTCTCTCTCCTGCTGTATTTAAAGTATTGAGAAGGGAGGATCAAAAGTAGTTGCCATCATCTTGTGACCTCAGTAGGAGACAAACTGTATGAGACTCAAGGAAACATGGTTCTATCTGAGAGACCAGATCCTGATAATACCATTTAAGCCCAATGCCTTCGACTGTGCCTGAGGCCAGTTATATTCCTAAAGTTTTTTAAATGAGCCAATTAAATCTCTTGCACTTAAGCGTTTCTGCCTCCCCAGTCACTAGAAACAAAAATGGAACTGATAAATCTTTAATCCATTCCTGCAGTTCCATCCATTTTCCAGACTCAGGGGTCAATCTGACCACTGGGCAGAGAAAACAGGTATTCCACAACCTAACCTGATACCCCACTAAGTCAGTTGTGTTGAAAACTCTGATGCTATTCTTCGGCGATAAATCATGTGTCTATGTAGCAGTTCCTCTCAGTAGGCCTCTGTCCTACCCATCCTAGAGTTCTTAACATCATGGAAGTTATCAGAACCATAGCCCATAGCCAGTGTCCTCTGATGACTTTCCTGAATGCCTCTGTTTAGATTGTCTTCCCTCCCAGTGAATTTAATTGGGCCTGATCTGACTGATACGACGAGCTTTGAGACCTCTCTGAGAGGCTGGCTGCTCCCTTCCTCAGGGGTTAGTCCTCAGCTTTAGAAGTCAGGGCATGTGCTTGGTTGGAACACAAAAAATTGTTTGGATCCACTAAGGCTAACTCACACCAAAGGATTTCCAAAAGGCTGGTACATAACCAGGCATGCCAGTGTACTCAACACCAGTGAGAGGCTTTCATAGGTCAGACCTAGGGTATCCCTTTCACATTTGCAGGATACCTAGGAGACAGATTAGAAACTAGAATGTTCACTCATGGACACAAAATGAGATCAGAGCAGAGAGAGATCCTGAGGGATATTTCATGTAGACCATGGTGAAACCTGATTAAAAGAAGACTCCTGCCCCGTAACTGAATCCCTTTCTCTGGTCATTGGAAGTTTCCTTTCATCAGATTCATTATTTTTCCTAGTGGTGCTGGACAAACATGCCAAAATAATGACACAACATTGAGCATCCTCTTTTTGTTAACATACTGATCAAACATCTGGTGTTTAGAAAACCTAATTGATTTGGTCATTTTTTCTCAATTATATTCTGTCCCTGCTCCCTTGACTTACATCCAAAAAAGTTACTTATTAGAGCACTGGGTATTCCTCAAACATCTCAGTCTCACCTATGCAATTTCTTGGGTTGCTCCTATAGGCAGCCAATCTCTTCCTTGCATGTAGGTTTTTGCTAGTTCAACTTTTAGATGACACATCCTTGTCCCTATCATCCTTGTCCCAGCTTTGAGGGTTGAACACAATGACACAATTATTCTCAAAACTTTCCAACCAAGAACTCCACGCCTAAGTTTATTTTATCTACTCTGGGTCTTTCACCAAGAACAACTTGCAGATAGAGAGACACACATCTTCCATCAGAGGAATGCGTCTTCAAGCACGTGTACTTGTAACTTGCTGAGACACCAAAATTGTCAATTTTTTTTTTGAGTGCATTAACTGGGAAGTGTTCCTTACTTTCTGTGAACACAGACAGAAATAGTGAAAGATCCATGGAAATCAGTATTCCCAGTAACTGATGTTACGTAAACCTTGGGGTGAGTTAGCACTCACCAGTAATAATGAAAAACAGGCGATCTCAACCAATTTGATCATATTCTTTTTTACAATTCTAGACGTTCTAGAGAAAATTAGTGGCCAGCCATTCAAATCTCTGAAGTGGTTCCAAGTAAAGTATATAAAATCCCCCCAAAATATGTCTTTTTTTTAAAAATTAACACACTCATTTTTTTTTCCTAGCACGGCATCTGGATATCTTTCATATGACAAAAAAGTGAAACAAGCAAAGAGCAAATAGTTCATACAAACACCAAGAAACTGCTGCAAACGGCTCTGAATCACTAGACAGTGTCTAGACAGTTTCTGGTGCATCAAGAAGCCCTGGGCAAAGGGCTGGGGGGCTAAGATGAGCCTGGACAAACAAGTGTCCCATGGACCTAAC